AGAAAGTTGCTTTATGGTTTCTTACTAATTTTGATGTCATCATTATACCACCTTTCAATGGATCTGCTATGTCTCACCGCCTTAATCGGAAAATCAATTCCAAAACGGTTTGCAAAATGCTAACCTGGTAACCTGCAGGTAAACTAGCTGTATATCATTCTTTCTTCCTTATCTTTTTTATTACCTCTAATGCCTTATTGTTTTATTCAGTTGCTGTGGATTTATCAAACATAAGCAAGGTGTTCAGGTGTAATGAATGTTGAGTCGTGATTGATAGAGATTTTAATGGCGCCCGGGGAATTTTTCTCCGGGCTTTGCTTGATGGGGCTGTTTGTATATAATGAACTCACTATATACACGCACTAATTGATTATTTTATATATTAATGATCGATTCAATCCATCCGTTATTATTTTATCATGTATTTAACATTGACTAAACATTTAAGGTTAATTAGAATGTACAATTACAGAATAACTAACGTATCATTTACGCAATTGTTACCGGCTAATAAATCATGATCTTCAACTGTATTACATAGGAGTAGAATAATAAAATATATTATAAATTACTTTGTTAAGAATTTATGCTGTAGCGATGCGATACGTACCGATATTTAATTTCCTAGATCTATTGTTTTCACGTGCAAAAGGATGCCCTTTGAGATATCTTCATATAACCATTTTTGATATTCTGGAGTAAAATGAATATGGTAGCTTCGTTTAGACATTTAGAATATATATTTAAAATTTTATGATAAAATACGCCTTTCGGCTACTTTAAGTTATGGGCACACAATACAATACGCCTCTACTTACATATTTTTTTGAACTTTGAATCTAATAATAAAGTTTCACAATATCAATACGTATTAAATGCACAGGTGCGAGATTTTTATTTCTTTATTTATTGATTTACAATGTTATTTATTGTTATGAAAATATTTTGTTAATTCCAGTCAAAAATATAAAATGACACAAGTCTTTGCTAATGATCGTTTTTTCCGTCGAATTTGTCTTCTTGAATTTCAGAAATTTAACAAATAGAGAAAAAAAAGATTTATACTGTTCAAAAAAACGAAAAGAAAATTATCCAATGTATTATATTTGTAAAAAATGACGACCAATGCAACTGAACAATTACAACTTGCTGGCTCAGCCACATCGACATTTATATCTTCAATAATCTTTAACACAGCAATTACTGTTGCTGCATTCATTACTTTTGATTTAATAAGAAAGAGATGTGTTAAAGTTTTTGAACCAAAAACTTATCTTGTCCCTGAAAGGTAATATTTATGTTAATTTGTTAGTATTCAGTGTATTCTTTTTTTCCTAATTATTTCTTATCAAAAGAAAACGTGCGCCGCCAGTTCCTAGTGGGTTCTTAAAATGGTTGAAGCCAACCTTAATGGCACCTGATAAAGAGCTCATATTGCGAGCTGGATTGGATGGATATATGTTTCTTCGTGTTATTCGGCTTTTCATGATATTGTTTTCTTTATTCACGATAGTGGGTCTTTGTTTGATTTTACCTTTGAATCATATTAATCAAAGTGATAAACGTGGGTTGGAAAGTTTTACCATTGGTAATGTCAAGGATAAATGGAGATTATATGTTCATGTGCTAATGTGTTACATTTTCACCGGTAAGTCATCAATTTTGAATTGTTAAAACCATATAACAATTATATAACAATTACGTGCCTTGTATTTATAGCTGCTATTCTTTATACGATGTATCATGAATATTATACGTACGTAAGGTTACGTCACGAATGTCTTACAACACCAGAGCATCGTATATCCCCACGTGCGACCACCATTTTGGTTGTTGGCATTCCTGATCAACTTAATAACGAAGAAGATCTAAAAACCTATTTAGTGTGTTTCCTGGGGGTGTGAAACGAATTTGGTTTAATAGGTGATATTTTGTTGAGCAAGAAATTTCTCAATTTATGATAGTATTTATTTAACGTAAAATCTTATCGATTTATTTTAGAAAATCATCTAGACTAATAAGTCTTACAACTAAAAGAATGAAATTGATTCATAAACTTGAATGTGCCGAAACAGATTTTCTTATAAAATATTTAAAATATCAAAAGGGTGATGAATCAGAACAAGACGTAGAAGATGGAGACAAAGTTCCTGTATTTCTGCGTCCAACCCACAGAACAATTCCCTTGATCGGTAAAAAAGTGGATTCTATTGAGACATATCGCGAAGAGATTCAAAAACTTAATGAAGAAATTAATGAACTGCGGAAAAAGATAGATTCTTTTAAGAAGTTAAGATCTGCATTTATCCAGTTTAATAATTACGTTGGCGCTCAATTGGCTGCAACTTTGACAATCCCACGATTAACCGAAATAACTCGAGAAGACGTTATTTGGGAAAATCTTAATCTTACGCGTATACAAAGGATAGTTAGAAAAGTAATAAGCATCTCAATTACGACAGCTTTAATAGTTCTTTGGGTCATACCTGGTAATTATAATTATATAATTATATAAGATTTATAATTATTATAAATTATATAGAATTTATAATTATATATTTTTAGGGAACTGTTATTGCCACCCCCCATTTTTGTTAATGCCACCCCCTACATAACTCTAATTAACCTTTAACCTTTCCGGAAACTCTATAAACAATGC